GAATGGTCACTAAATGGACTGTTGTAAATCAAGGACTACCTGTATAGACTAAAGTAACTTCTTCTTTTCCCGGCCATCCCTGGTCAATGCTGATTAGTAGTTTAGAGAGGACAGACAGATGGAAGAGAGAGTTCCCAAAGATCGTGTCTATTTATTTATTTATTTATTTATGAGACTTATATACTGCTTTAAGTGCGAGCACTCTCTAAGCAGTGTACACCAGTAAGCAATGTATATATATATATATATATATATATATATATATATATATATATATATATATATATATATATATTTACATTGCCCCCACCAATCTGGGTCCTCATTTTACCTACCCCGGAAGGATGGAAGGCTGAGTCAACCTTGAGCCGGTGAGATTTGAACCGCTGACCTGCTGAACACAGTCAGCTAAAGTGGCCTGCAGTACTGCACTCTAACTGCTGCGCCACCTCGGCTCGATTCTTAAAGTATCGCTTGGTACCAAGGAACTGAGCCTCAGAGTTTGAATTTCACTCTTCTAGCTAATTGCTGTAGGTCAAAACAAAAATCCAACACAGGGTTCACAACACTTTGGTGCTTAATAGGTTATAGGATTTCAGTTGGCTCCAGCAAACTTCAATCTTGGTTGGATCATGGCCAAGATCCGCTTTTGCTATTAAGCTACATTATTTAATTCTCCCACCCATCTGCAGTATTTTCATATCTGGGCCAAGCTAGGAAAACAGCCAGCCTCAGCAGTGCCTTCTATGGAGAACAGGAGGGACCAACCACTCCTTGTATCGCTAGGGCTGAAGTCCCATGCCACAAACAACTGATTTTTGACTAGTCTAATCTAACTGTTAACACACTAGAACTGTCTTATTTGCCAAAGATACCCAAAAGAAAGGTGAGCAGCAGAGAGTCCAGAAAAGCTGAACTGAGACAGCCCATCTCTCTAATGTACTCAGAGTGATTAAAAATAAAAAGAAGCATTGACCCTATTAAGCGAGTAACAGAATGATCTTGAAAACCAAACATTAACAGTTGATTAACGTTGCTGTTGAAACTCCCTTCGATGTGGATGTTACCTTTTTTTACTTGCACCTGGGGTTAGATCTTTTTGGGAAATATGACTTACTTTACAAATGGAGATAGAAAAACACATGGAGATTCATAATCTCTCTCTTCTTCTTCTTCTTCTTCTTCTTCTTCTTCTTCTTCTTCTTCTTCTTCTTCTTCCTCTTCCTCTTCCTCTTCTTTTTTCTTCTTCCTTCTTCTCCTCCCTCCTCCTCCACCTTCTTCTTCTTCTTTTTCTTCTTCTTCTCCTCCTCCTTCTCCTCTTCCTCTTTCTTCTTCTTCTTCTTCTTCTTCTTCTTCTTCTTCTTCTTCTTCTTCTTCTTCTTCTTCTTCTTCTTCTTCTCCTCCTCCTCCTCCTCCTCCTCTTTTTTCTTCTTCCTTCTTCCTTCTTCCTTCCTCCTCCTCCCTCCTCCTCCACCTTCTTCTTCTTCTTCTTCTTCTTCTTCTTCTTCTTCTTCTTCTTCTTCTTCTTCTTCTTCTTCTTCTTCTCCTCCTCCTCCTCCTCCTCCTCCTCTTTTTTCTTCTTCCTTCTTCCTTCTTCCTTCCTCCTCCTCCCTCCTCCTCCACCTTCTTCTTCTTCTTCTCCTCCTCCTCCTTCTCTTCCTCCTCCTCCTCCTCCTCCTCCTCCTCCTCCTCCTCCTTCTTCTTCTCCTCCTCCTTCTCTTCCTTCTCCTCTTCCTCTTTCTCTCTCTCCCCCTTCCTCTCCCTTTCCCCTTTAAACACTTTTCATGTCTCATCCAAGAAGCTTCTTTAGTTCTGAACTGAAGTCACAGTCCCATGCTTCCATAAAAAAAATCAAACAAGATCTCTTGCTCACAAAAAACTTCCCACTGTTAAAGATTATGACAAGTAGGTCCAGAAGATGGGTCCACAAAAGAATCTAAACTTCTCCAACTGCACCATAGATTAGAATTATCCACATGAAGCCTTTGCATTTTGTCTCTGTTTCTATTGAGCAATCAACTTCAGAGGTTCTTGTCTTTATTCCAGTCAGTATGAATGCAGCACCATTTCAGGGAGATAATTGGGCTAACAAAAGGGCAATGTTTGGTTTAAAGACATTGCTGATAAAATTCAGTTTCTAGGAACTGCCTTCTAAATGAACTGGGAGAGAGGGTTGAAGGGATGGGCCGTATGTTGTATGAGGCAAGCTTGGTGCACACCAAGAGGCATTTTGCTTCTACTCTAGATAAGGATGAAAAGGAACCCAAATAAGAGGCAGAGCAGAAAGCAATGGGTGGAAACTAATCAAGGAGAGAACGAAATTTCCTGTTACTTCCTGACACTTAGAACAATTAATCAGTGGAATACCTTGCCTCTAGAAGTTGTGGGTGCTCCATCAGGTTTTTAAGAAGAGATTGGACAGCCATTTGTCTGGAATGGTATACACCAATCTCCTGCTTGAGCAGGGAGTTGGACTAGAAGACCTCCAAGGTCCCTTCCAACTCTTTTATTATGTCAGGAAGTATGACAACCTTAAGGACCCTCCATGACTGCTCATTTAAGGAGAAGGAGCCAAAACTGGTCTAAGTTTTGAAAGGCAGAAGAAAAAAAAAATTTTTTTCCAACACAGCAAGGAGTCCTTAAGCTGGTTCAGAACTGAATGTGATAATTAAAACTCTGTCCAAGCAGTAACAGGGCTATTGATGTTTATTCGCTTTCTCTCAATGTGATTTTAGTCATTTCTACTATCGTTTACCAAGGACCCTAACTCCAGTGCTTAATAAGCTCTTAATTCCAGAATTTTGCTTTCTTTCACTGTAAAAAATACACACCGGCAGCAGTGAAGATGCCTGTGGGAACATCTGTCAAGATCAAGCATTTGTCTTTTCTGCTCAGAGAAAAGAGAAAAATAAGCAGACTATAATATTCTGTTTCTGCTGAGTTTGCTTTCAAGTTGGGTATTGTTGCTGTTAATTTCTATGCTTTGGGAAGGAGAATGGATGGACACAATCTACACAACGGTTTCTAGAGCAGGCTGTAAACAACTGTGTTCTGTTTAATATACTATATAAAAGGCCATTGGCCAAGCAAAGCAAGTGTAAAAAAAATGACCCCAGCTGCAATCATTGTGGCCATACATACGGTATATATTGTGGGAAGCCATCCCCAGAGAGAAGGAAATATTAAAAGAGCAGAAAAATAGATTTTCTCAAAGGATCTTAAAGAAGCAGAAAAGCATGCCCAGTTTTTCTTAATAGCCCCAAGTCTCCCTCCCCCAAGCAGAAACTAGCTCTGTAGAAATGCAGATGTACCCCATTCAGGAAGGTTGAAGCTAGAAGATAAAGAAGACAAAGACACCTAAAATCTATATACCACACCCAAACTCTAAGACAGGACACAATAGGATTAACCCACAGATGCCAGAGGGGCACACAGACTCAGGTCAAAATACATAACACAGGAAATACAAAGCCTCAAACAGGAACAGGAAATAACCTCAAGAGCCCCAGAGGGTATAAAACCCCATTCCCTGCATGTGCTCTCTCTCTCTTTTCTTCCAGAGCCATCTTTCTGTCTGGCTCTCCTCTTCAATAAACTGCAACCTTCTTTCTAAAGCAGTCACCATGATGTTTATTCCCAGCTTGGACTGAACCAGAAAGCTAATAAAATTAATCCACAGATAAGATCCTGAAATTAAGCTTCCTAGCTGCACAGTTGAGATATAAAACCAGCTGGCATAAAGCCGTGGCATGAGAAAAGAGACTCAGTCAAGTGGGGCAATTACATGAATGAGCAGAAAGAACCATTGCCTAAGGAAGATTTTTATTTATTTGTTAGTATTCTGTATTTATTGTTTTTATAAATAACTCAAGCTGGCAAACATATCCAACACACCTTCCTCCTCCTAATTTCACCATAACAATAATCCTGTGAAGTGGGTTAGGCTGAGAGAGAGTGATTGGCCCAAAATTCTCTAACCACTTTTCAAGCCTAAGATGGAACTAGAACTCACAATCTCCTAATAATTGCCCAAAGACACCCAGCCAGCTTTCAAGCCTAAGGCAGGACTAGAACTCATAATCTCCTATTGGTTGGCCCAAAATCTCCCAGCTGGCTTTCAGGGCTAAGGTGGGACTAGAACTCCCAGCCTCCTAATGATTGGCCCAAAATCACTAGGCGTTTTTTTCATGGCTAAGGTGGGTCTAGAACTCATGGTCTCCCACTTTCTAGTTCTGATGCCTTATCCAGTAGACCAAACTGACTCTCTAGATCAGGGGTGTCAAACAGCCGGCCCACGGGCTGGATGCATCATGCCAAAACCACGGCCACCACAGCTGCAGCAGTGGGGAAAAAGTCGCGATACATCATGACCAGGGGTAGGCAACCTTGGCTCTTTTATGACTCATGGACTTCAACTCCCAGAATTCCTGAGCCAGCCATGCTGAGGGTAAAGAGAGAGGTTTCCATGCCGAGCCATGCTGGCTCAGGAATTCTGGGAATTGAAGTCCACAAGTCATAAAAGAGCCAAGGTTGCCTACCCCTGGTCATGACACATCACATGACGTGACAAGTTTGACACCCCTGCTCTAGATAGACAAAATGGACCTATGGAAGATACACAATCTCATTTTTTTTCCTTTTCTAATGCTGGTCATTCTAGATGCGTCTGTCTGGTGGAAAATATTAGCCACAACATTCCAGTGCCTTTGCTGTGTAGTCATTCAGACACTGGGGGGGGGGGGAAGCGAGAGAAATTAAATTTCTTTGGCCAGATGCTAGTAAATTTAAAAAAAAAAAAATGGGTGTAGGGAAGGGAGAAATCTGTTCAGAGCAGGATCTTGTTTTGGCACATGGAAGCCAAGAGGGAACTGTTAAAGAGATCCAGTTACAGAAAAGCCCATCTGATTGAGTTTCTTCTCCAGCTCTCAGCAACGGAAGGGTTAAGCAGCCAAGTTCCAAGCTAACTCTGGAGATTATAGAATGTTTATCTAGTATTCAGATTTCCTGTTTAAATGTTTGGATTTCCTGAAATCTATCAGTCTGAAGGGTGTCCAGTGCGTGGCCTTTTCCTCCCCTTCTTTCTGCTCAGATGGGTGGACTTCCCTTCCCAACTGTATTTCTGTCTCCACACCAGCCAAGATTTTTATGGATGGAAGTCAAAACTTTTTAGGCACCCCCAGAAAATATCTTTGGATCCCTGGACCTTGAGATGTGCTTTGTTTAATCTAGCAAGCAAATAATCACAAGAAAAATTCTTGGGAATTACTATTGGTGCAGCGTTGCCTTTGTTTCCCCCCCCCCTTTTTTTTTCTTTCTTTTTTTTCCCAGCTCCATGTTGGAAAATAATTTTAGCACTTTAAAGACAATGGAATGATGGCCTTTTTTTTGGCATGCTCTTCGGGAATGGGACATCAAACTGGACAAGACTTGGTGAGTTAAAGCTGCTGGTTTAGGGATTGTGGATTAAGGGGAAAAAATGGTCGAGGCCAACTCTGTGTTCTCCTTAAATTGGGATGTTTTAAATAACAAGTCACAGACCGCAAAATGGTTTGTGTTGCTTTATGGATACATTTATATTTTAACTGCTGGGGGATGCATGCTTTTTCACCGAACAACACTGCTGCTAAATATGTAATTCAGAAAGATTTCTTACCAAGTTCAAAAATCCTTACTTTGGGGAAAAAAATATTCATTTTAAGAACAGCACTTGCGGGCAGTTTTCTCATTCTGCAAGAGAAGCCACATGCCCACCTATTGCCCTGATCCTGGCTAAAAATCAGACTTAAATTAAAAGTTTTCTTTCCTTCTTCCCACTTCAAACAACATCATCATTATGGAAGGAGTCTTATTTTGCATTTTACAAAGTCCATTGCATATCAAGTCCACAGGTTTTATTTCTTTTTAATTTCAGCCCAATGCAGAGACTAAATTACTTTTCAAATCTCTCGGAGCCAAAGGAGATAAAGCAGAGACGAGCAGTCAGCAAAGAGCTAATTTTACTCCAAAAGTTTTCCACGGAGAGAAGCAATAAGAACTTCATACAACTTTTTTTTTTAAAAAAAAGACCTTTAAATTACCTTCAAGAGGATAAAGATGTGATCTGACTATTTTAATCTTAAGTGTTATTTAGAAAGTACATTCAAATTCAGATCTTTTTTTTTTTTTTTTTTTTTTGCTATTCAAGTAGTGTAATCCACACTAAGGCCCCAGTCCTTACCAGGGAATAAAGCAAAATTTGTAGAAGCCAGTTAGTTATTACTAACATTATTGCAATATTAAAATCCACTGAAGGAAAGGTTTACTGTGCATCATTCAAGTAGAATAATGTATAGAAACGCTGATAAAATTTCATTTCAAATATCTGCATGAAACATAGCTTTGTGTGAAGTTTAGAGAGTAAGTTTCATTGATCTATATCAGTGGTTCTCAACCTTTTTAATGCCGCAACCCCCAACTGGTCGTAAGTCGAGGACTACTCAACTGGTGCAGCACCGTTTGCAGAATGGGACTTTTGGCGGGCTCAGCAGGGCAGAGACAGCCTGGACAATTCCTATTGGCTTTTGAAAGAATTCAAGAGAGTCTATTCTATTGGCTTTCAAAAGCCAACAGAATAAAAGGGAGTAGCATAGCTAAGGAAAAGGGGGAAAAATGGCAGACTGCGTTATTTGGCGACCCCCGTGAAATGGTCGTTCGACCCCAAATGGGGTCCCGACCCACAGGTTGAGAACCACTGATCTATATGGACAGTGCCTCTCTTAAATTCAGCAGTGCTTGCTGTTGAATAATTATGCATCAGATCAGGCAGCACAAGGCAATCTCAGCTTTAGTTATGAGGTCTCCCCTTTGGCGGGCAGATTAATACAGGATGAGGGAGGGAAGGGTAAGGTTTAATTTAAAATGTTCTTGAAACTGGAAGAATGTCTTAGTTCAGACACCTTTGGGAGCTGATTAATGAAGCTATGCTGCAGGTTGGTGTCAGCATACTTTTAATTGTGCTGCTTTCTAGAGATGGCAAGACTTTTGCTGGTACTTTAAGTGAGACCAAGTCAGGTTTTTTGCTGATATACTGCAAGTTCTTTATTTATATACCCTTCCCCATCTACAGTCAGCTGAAAACCCTATTTCTTAACCAAGAGCTAATGAAGACAATCGATGTGAGATCTGAACTTTAAAAATTGGAGAGTGGAAAAGTTAAACAGAGGCAAGACACCAGTGACAAGATGAATGTTTGATAATCACCAAAATAATTAATAGTGGCTGTTCTTCTACTAATAATGGAAGCTAACATGATACCATAAAGCAGGTCCCACCACCTAGTAGGCTTGTCTGTAAGTGATTGAAGAATGACAATCCATTCTTCAACCAATGGAAGAACAATCAACCAGTGGAATCGACCTTGCCTTTAGAGGTTGTGGGTGCCCCATCATTGGAGGCTTTCAAAAAGAGACAGGACAGCCACTTGCTGGAATAGTAGACTCTCCTTTTCATGAAGGGAGTTGAACTAATTATCTCCAAGGTCCCTTCCAACTCTGTTATTGTAGGTTTTAATCCATAATCCCACATAAAATACACCCCAGATCATTATAGAGATCATATAGCTTTGTAACTCAAAAACTGCTTACTGTATAGGAGACTGGAGGCAAAAGCATATAAAGAACGGTTGCTGGAATTGGATATGTCTAGTTTAATGAAGAGAAGGACCAGGGGTGACATGATAATAGTGTTCCAATATCTCAGTGGTTGACACAAAGAAGAGGGAGTCAAGCTATTCTCCAAAGTGCCTGAAGGCAGGACAAGAAGCAATTCCAATATACAGCCCAAATGTTGGAGATGTGGCAATAATGATGCGACATACTTTCATATTTGGTGGAATTGTAAAAAAGTAAAGGCTTTTTGGATTATGATTTGGTGGAACATTCAAAAGATGTTTAGAAAAAAGATAAAGTTTACTCCTCAACTATTTTTATTTGGTATTTTTGTTGACTTAAATGAAAAAGAAACTACTTTGATGTTGAATTTATTAACTGCAGCAAGGTTACTAGTAGGTTTATATTGGAAGAAAGATTCTTTGCCTACTTTAGAAGAATGGATATTTAAAGTATCTAGTTTTGCAGAAATGGCAAAAATTTCTGCTTATTTAAAGGATCATACACAAGAAAGATATATTATTGTATGGGGAAGGTGGATAGATTATATTCAGAAAAAGTATGGAATTAAAAAGTTTCATTTATTTTATGAATGAATTTTAAATATTATAGAGAATTGTTTTATAGGTTATGGAGTTAAAGGTTAATTATGATATTTTTTCTCTTTTTTCTTTTCTTTTCTTTTTTCTTAATTATTATAATCTTTTTTATTATTATTAACCCTGTATTCTGCTCTGGGAAGTGAAGGGAGGGGGGTTGGGGATGGGAGGGAGGGTAAGGGGGGGGGGTTTCTACTTTAAAATTTTATCGTATTTTTATAAATGATTGTATGTTTAAAAAAATAAAAAAAAATTCAATAAAAAAAAAAGGAGAGAAGCAACCTAGAAATAAGAAGAAATTTCCTGACAGTTAGAACAATTAATCCGTGGAACAACTTGCCTCTAGAAGTTGTGAATGCTCCAACACTGGAAGTTTTTAAGAAGAGATTGGACAGCCGCTTGTCTGAAATGGTATAGGGTTTCCTGCCTGAGCAGAGGGTTAGACTAGAAGACCTCCAAAGTCCCTTCCAACTCTATTATTCCATTATATTGTATAAAATGGGTTTGTGCAAAATAATATGTAGATTGGGAGAATGCACATATAGGCAGTCCTTGCCCACACAGTTCATTTAGTGACTGTTCAAAGTTACAGCAGCGCTGAAAAAAGTGACTTATGACCACTTTTCCACACTTGAGAATGTTGCAGCATCCCCTTGGTCACATGATCAAAATTCAGACGCTTGGCAACTGACTTATATTTATGATGGTTGCAGTGTCTTAGGGTCATGTGACCCACCTTTTGTGAAATTTTAGGCTCAGTTGAGGTCATAAGTCTAATTAACTTCTTGGGACACATATCCTGAGAGAACGACACATCTTCTACACAACTACATATGTTGGCTGGGGAATTCTGTGAATTAAAGTCTACCCTTTATACTTGCCAAGGTCAAGAAACACTGTTCTGGAGCATATTGGCTGGAGAATTCTGGAATAGAATAGAATAGAGTGGAAGGGACCTTGGAGGTCTTCTAGTCCAGCCCCCTGCTCAAGCAGGAGAAGCTATACCATTTCAGATAAATGACTGTCTAGTCTCTTCTTAAAAACCTCCAGTGATGGAGTGCCCATGATTTCTGAAGGCAAGCTGTTCTACTAATTAATTGTCCTTGCTGTTAAGAAATTTCTCCTTAGTTCCAGGTTGCTTCTCTCTTTGGTCAGTTTCCAACCATTTTCTTCTCCTGCCCTCTAGTACTTTGGAGAATAATTTGACCCCCTCTTCTTTGTGTCAACCCCTCAAATACTGCAATACTGCTATTATGTCACCCCTGTGTCAACCCCTCAAATACTGCAATACTGCTATTATGTCACCCCTGTTTCTTCTTTTCTTTAGATTAGCCAAACCCAAGTCCTGCAGCCGTTCTTCATATGTTTTAGTCTCCAAGCCATGGATCATCTTAGTTGTTCCTCTCTGAACTTTTTCCGAAGTCTCAACATCTTTTTTCTAGTATGGTGACCAAAATTGCTTGCAGTATTCCAGGTGTAGCCTGTAAATGTGGAAGCTAAAGTCCACATTTTTTAAAGTTGACAACTTTGAGAAACACTCCTATAAACGATGTAGTTGGGAAACCCGATAGTTGTGGGTTTTTTTACTGACATTGTAGTATTATAATAGGCGACCCTAAGATGGCTATGAGAACCCACTAATAAAAAAATGAGAGCAGACCAGCTGCATTTGACATTAATTTGATTCAGCCAATAAGTTCTGTGCCAGCAAATGTCCAGTTTGAGTTTAGTTTTGAAGAGCTTCCTTTCCACGCTTTAGTCATAAACCTAATTTACAGGATGCATTATTCAGCGGATGTGTCTGCAAATAGTTTTGGCATACCTGATCATTTGACCTGGTCACTTGCTATGGATTTGTATATGAAAGGGAGGGGCAAATTCATGCTATTTTTGGCCAAATATAGGTAGGTAGGTAGGTAGGTAGGTAGGTAGGTAGGTAGGTAGGTAGGTAGTAGATAGATAGATAGATAGATAGATAGATAGATAGATAGATAGATAGATAGATAGATAGATAGATATGGAAAACCAAGACATTTTGAAATGAAAATCATTTTGAAAACCATCATTTTGAAATGAACCCACTGGGGTTTAATCTGACTTATAGGTTGTCATTTCTGTGTTGCATCCTGCTGATGTAATTTTTTAAAATTCTTAATGCCCTAAAAAAGAACCAATATATATAATAGTCTCTCCTGCTTCTGACCTCAGTGGGGATATTTTCGTAACAGTAAACATGCCTCTTTGATAAACACTTCATGAATACAAGAGTTACAACATTAACCTGATATAATTGGAAGGAATCTGCATATCACTCATTTTGGGGGGGGCATGTTCTCTTGAAAAGGTAGCCTACTTATTTAAATATGTATTTAATAAAGAACTTGACTTTTCATATTTTCAGACATTCTCCTCAGCTACATTTAGAAAATTCCTGAGGGAGTGAACAAGATAGTTATAAGAGGTAATACAAATATCTCTGATATACTGCTTTTAGTCTTCACCACCTGCAATAAGCATGTATAGAAAAATGTGTTACGGGAGAAAAGTGCACCTAGTCTTAATAAAGCTACTGATTTTTTTTTAAAAAAAAAGTAAATTTGTACATAAAGAGATGCATGTGCGTATTTTCAAAGGAATAAATGCGCTTATTTTTTTAAAAAAAATATGCAAATGGATGGATAAACTAGTTGGAATGAATTTACGGCAGGAAAATTTAATAAAATTAACTTTGGCAAATCCACTCATTTTGATGAGCGACTTCCATCATAAAATAACTAAAGCAATTCTTGTGGGATTAATCATCATGACTTTCAGCATACAATATGAGCTCTCTGCCTCCTAGGCCAGAGGTAGGCAACTTTTGCTCTTTTATAACTTGTGGACTTCAACTCCCAGAATTCCTGAGCCAGACATTTATCTTCTAAATGTGGACAGTGAGGAGCAAAAGTTAAGAGGAAAAGAAAAAGCTGCTGAAACCATTTTGTGGTTCCAAGCAAGCACAAAACTGTTAACATATAGGGATGGGAATATCCCTCTATATCAGTGGTTCTCAACCTTTTTAATGCCCCGACCCCCAATCGGTCGTAAGTCGAGGACTACTCAACTGGTGCAGCACCGTTTGCAGAATGGGACTTTTGGCGGGCTCAGCAGGGCAGAGACAGCCTGGACAATTCCTATTGGCTTTTGAAAGCCAATAGAATTAGACTCTATTCAAGAGAGTCTATTCTATTGGCTTTCAAAAGCCAATAGAATAAAAGGGAGTAGCACAGCTAAGGAAAAGGGGGAAAAATGGCGGACTGCGTTGTTTGGCAACCCCCATGAAATGGGGTCCCGACCCACAGGTTGAGAACCACTTCTCTATATTCTTTCACTTAAAAAAATAAGCGTACGGCCAAAATTGAGGCCAAATTTTCCATTGCTAAGTGAGACTGTTGTTAAGTGAGTTTTGCCAAATTTTATGACCTTTTTTGCCACAGTTGTTAAGTAAATCATTGCAGTTCTTAAGTTAATAAGTAAAGAGAATCTGGCTTCCCCATTCACCTTGCTTGTCAGAAGCTAGCTGGGAAGGTTACAAATGGTGATCACATAACTCTGGGACACTGCAACTGTCCTAAGTACATGCCAGTTGCCAAGCGTCTGAATTTTGATCATGTGACCATGAGGATGCTGCAACAGTCATAAAGGTAGGATTTCCATAAACCATACATATAGGAATTTAAATTCATAGCCATCAACAAATTCCATAGATTCTGTGAAGAAATGCTTCCTTCAGTTTTTTGGCAAGCCATTTTAGAGAACGTGAAAGAGAGTCAGTTTGGTCCAGTTCTTAAAGTACTGGGCTAGAAACCAGGAGAGTATGAGTCTGAGTCCCATATTAGGCATCAAAGCCATCTGGGAGGACCAGTCACCAGGAGACTGTGAGTTCTAGTCCTGCCCTTAGGCATGAACGCCATCTGGGTGACTTTGCGCCAGTCACTCTATCTCAGCCCACAACGTTAAGTTTGGGTGACAATCTGATTGGTCAGTTCCTGTTTCAACCAATGGATCAGCGTTTGATTGAAAATGGAAAAAAATAGTCGACTCTACATTTGTGGGGAAACATTAGGAAAAGAAAAGAAAAATAGAGAGAGAGGCCATGAATAAGTTTTGGAATAACAGTTTAAGGTTGTAGAATTACTTACACAATTCTCACACAATTCCTTCCCCCCTCCAATTCCTTCTCTGTTTTACATTAAAACTAATGTCTGTGGCACAGGGCACCCTGATGTAATTGCACATTGCTCCTCACTATAACTATGTAAGAAAAACCACAACCTATTTCTACAAGCTACGCACTGAAGACTGAGGCTCAGAAAACAGGGCTGGATGTGTTTCTCCCTCACAGTGACTTAACTCAGGGCTCTCCAACCTTGACAACTTTAAGATTTGTTCAACATGGCTGGCTGAGGAATTCTGGGAATTGAAGTCCACAAGTCTTAAAGTTACTCAGGTTGGAGACCCCTAGCTTAAACTGACATAAAAAGGACCAGCAAATTCCAGTTTCAGAACAAAGGGAAATCAGGAAAAAAGTGTATGAAAAGGGGTAAAAGTAGACTTGACCTAATTTTGCTGTTGGCCCTCATCCAAATTTAACTCATAGCTTCTCTTGGGAAAAGGGAATAATAGAAGTCCCACATTAAGTTATCTTTGGCTTTCAAGTGGAGACAAATTATTGGTGAGGGGAAAAAACATAATCAGTGATTAGCATTCTTTCATGTGGCTTTCTGTACTAAGAAATGAAAATGCTATTGTGAGTTGGGCATGGATTTAAAGAAATGGACATTATCTCACATTTCTGACAGTCTTGTGGGCACCTTTATTGTGACTCTGGTAAGCTGCACATTTTTAAACTAAGGAATCGTGTAACTTTCCAAGTAGTCATGATTATTTCTCTATACTCATAGTTAGTTGGTTCCGGGAAGCATGATAAGTAATAAAAACGATGAATACCAAACAAATTTTTCCCATAAGGAATAATGTAGTGAGTCTCAAGGCAACACCGACATGTTCTAGCTTGTGTGTTGAGTATGAAACAAACAACGAGTACTTGGACAAAATTTTCACATCAAAATGAGTTGAGTACCAAATTCGATGAGCTTCAAAGCAGTTGAGTACCAAAGTACCACTGTATCTAAAATACATAAACAAACCTATTTTGTTTCCTATACAGATAGTCCTCATGACCACAACTGAGCCCATTTCCATTGTTAAGCAAAGCAGCTATTAAGACAGTTGTGGCTGAATTTATTGCCATGGTTGTTAAATAAATCACCTCAGTTGTTAACTGAATCGTGTCATTCTTAAGTAAATCTGGTTTCCCCCATTGACTTTGCTTGTCAGAAGTCCACTGGGAAGGTCACAAATGGTGATCACATGATCCCAGGATCTCCGTGTAATATACACAAGTTGTGAAGCATCTGAATTTTGATTACGTGACTGTGGGGATGCTGTAATGGTTGTGTGAGAACCGGTCATATGTCACTTTTTCAGTGGCATTGTAATTTAAAATAGTCACTAAATGAACGGTTGTAAATTGAGGATTACCTGTATGCTGTTTATTTAATTTAATTTAGGTCCAGTTTAGGACACTATCTCTGTTCTGGCCATGCCTAATTTTTCCAATATAAAGGGCTGAACACGTATGAGTTTACTTGCTAATAGCCTGGATGATTCCGATTTCCAGTTTGCATGAAGACATCCCCTACTTGGTTCCTTTGTTGTTGTTGTTAGTTGCGAAGTCTTGTCTGACCCATCGCGACCCCATGGACAACGTTCCTCCAGGCCTTCCTGTCCTCTACTATCTTCTGGAGTCCATTTAAGCTCACTCCTACTGCTTCAGTGACTCCATCCAGCCATCTCATTCTCTGTCGTCCCATTCTTCTATTGCCCTCAATCTTTCCCAGCATTGGGCTCTTCTCCAGTGAGTCCTTCCTTCTCATTAGGTGGCCAAAGTACTTGAGTTTCAACTTCAGGATCTGGCCTTCTAAAGAGCAGTCAGGGTTGATCTCCTCTAGGACTGACCTGTTTGATCGCCTTGCAGTCCAGGAGACTCACAGGAGTCTTCTCCAGCACCATAGTTCAAAGGCCTCAATTCTTTGGCGCTCAGCCTTTCTTATGGTCCAGCTTTCACAGCCCTACACTGCAACTGGGAAAACATTTTTGTCATTCATTTTTACCCTTGACAGCCCACCAGATCAAATAATTCCCCAAAGAATAGAAGCTTCACAGGCTTATCGTAGAAATGCAGAACGTTAATCTGCAGAGAGGAATATTTCCCAGCTGTTTATTTCTGATAACAGTCCCCTATCATAGACGTTAGAAGATCCTCAAACCAAATCGGTTGTCTCATTTCCCTAAATAAGAAAGACTGCAATGCTTTTACATTCAAGAAGTCAAATACACATGGAAAACCATGGAGCCCAAGGGGGAAATTACTCACAGAAAGGAAGCTCTGAACGTCTTATTTTGCTCAGAATGCGACTTCATGGAATGGGAAGCTGACTGGTGAATCAGATAGGATCCCGTTTCCTCCATCTGGTCTTTCTTCCCTACAAATGCATCCTTCATGTCCATTTTGCTTTTCCCTGGCTGGACAACAACATGGAACTGAGTCCAGCTGGGACAACGAGAGAAATATCATATGAGAACTATCCAGGAAATATAGGTAGCCCTTGACTTATGACCACAAATGAGCCAAAATTCCTGTTACTGAGCAGGACAGTTATTCAGTGAGTTTTGCACCATTTTATAACCTTTCCTGCCACAGCCGTTAAGTGAGTCACTACAGTTGTAGTAGTAATAATAATAATAATAAAGTTGGAAGGGACCTTGGAGGTCATCTAGTCCAACCCCCTGCTCAGGCAGGAAACCCTATACCATTTCAGACAAATGGCTGTCCAGTCTCTTCTTAAAAACTTCCAGTGTTGGAGTATTCACCGCTTCTGGAGGCAGGTTGTTCCACTGGTTAATTGTTCTCACTGTCAGGAAGTTTCTCCTTAGTTCTAGGTTGCTTCTCTCCTTGGTCACTTTCCATCCGTTGCTTCTTGTCCTGCCTTCAGGTGCTTTGGAGAATAGCTTGACTCCCTCTTCTTTGGGGCAGCCCCTGAGACAGTGGAACACTGCTATCATGTCCCCCCTCGTCCTTCTCTTCGTTAAACTAGACATACCCAATTCCAGCAACCGTTCTTCGTATGTTTTAGCCTCTAGTCCCCCTAATCATCTTTGTTGCTTTTCTCTGCACTCTTTCTAGAGTCTCAACATCTTTTTTACATTGTGGTGACCAAAACTGGATGCAGTAGTGTTACAATTAGTAAGTGAATCTGGCTTTCCCATTGACAGGAGGTCACAAAAGGTGATCACGTGACCCCAATATAATGCAACCATCATAAATACATGCCAGTTGCCAAGCATTTGAATTTTGAT